GAAAGAATCTAAATCACCTGTTTGGAATTTCAATAAATTAATTTCATTTTTGTCCGCCTATAATGCAGATTCCAACAATATTTTACAAACATCTCGAAATACCGCAATTTTATTACTTCTATACTATGGTGGACGTTTACATTATTTTATTTTATTAAGAGTAGATTCTTTGATAATATTTATATCATTTTATGTTTTTTATTTACGGATTAAATTAACAGTTATTTGAACAAAGTTGAAAAGGCTGGTTTTAGGGACATCCACTCAACATATATTTTTTGATTCTTCTACTTTTGAAATATCCGTTTTTTAGCTCATCCATTTCTATTCTAATTAATATAAAAAATAACTAACATTTCCGAAGAAGGATTAACTTAAGCATGTTTTTACTAAATAACTTCCTCTGCAATGAAATATGACAAATATTTTAACTCATTACCAAATGGCGCCACCTTGTGGTAGAAAAGGTCGTAGTAGCTCATTCAAATAATATCACACATTTTAGTACCAGCAGTGCCATCTTGTTGAATATAAGAAATAATATTAGAATAAATTTTGGTAACCACCGAGGTTTGAGGGCTGAATAAGTAGTGAATTCAGTTTTCTATATATGATATAGATGGCGCTACAGAAAAAAATATTAAATTTATGTAAGAGCCGTTATTTGACAAGTTTAGTGTGTAGGTCTAATTTTTTACTTGTATTAGAGTTTAGCACCCGGATGACCGAGCTTTGCTCGTTTTTTTTTTAAATTACATTTAGTTACAAATTACATACCGATGAAACATAAATAATATTTTTTGATCTTATTGACAAAAACTGAACTGGCTATTTGAATAAAAAATCATGAGTGCTATTAGTTTAATTAAAATTTTCGTATTTTTAAAAAATACTAAAAAAGGGCTCGAAATAACAGATTTTCTCATAAAAGAAGGGAACTTGAAAAAAAAGGAAAAAAAATCAGATCGAAGACAGGATGCGAACCAAGGAATTACGACTTCGCGACTGCCCGATATCCACTTGAGCTATAACGACCATTAACACAGTGTCAAAATTTACCTTCTTATATTGTAGCAGTTTTCATTGTCTGAAAACACGGACAAAAAGACATTTTCTAAAAATAAATCCTAGCTAGATCGATTTATTGCCCCCGAAACTCCCTGGACACTAAATTTTTTGAAAATCGTTGGAGCCGTTTCCGAGATTCCGATTATATATATACAAGAATTGCTCGTTTAAAGGAATAGGATGTAATCATTTACTGTCACTGATTATAATGTTTTATACAAAAAAGAAATATTTTTTCTCTTCATAATTTATTAAGTTAACTACTCATCTATTACAACAAAAGGGTCGCTACATCTTTGTCATTGCTAATAACTATTTTATACATGTATGTTTGTATAAAATCTTTTTCGTTTGCATAAATTTTACTGATACACAATATTTTCCACAGTCCTCGTTATAACTTAATAGTAAGCTTTAAAATCCCTATTTTATACATGTAGATATATGTTTCCTTTACACCGTTGGTTGCCTGGAAGAGATCGCTATGTAGCGATAAGGCCGCCAAATTGTACATGTAATCTGCTCTCTGTTATGTTCTTTGTAAATATATTTGTGGTGTACAATAAAGTATATTCATTCATTCATTCATTCATTCATATGTTTGTTTAAAATCTTCTTCGTTTGCATAAATTTTACTGATAGACAATATTTTTCACAGTCGTCGATGTCATTAAATCGTAAACTTTAAAAGGCCTCAAACTTTATTTGTCTAAAAACTACAATAATCACCATCCAGGGATTTAATTTAAATCACCATCACTTAGCATCCTAAGTCATGCAAATATGAAGGTACGCTTCTAAAGTAAACAATTCGCAATATTAGCATTATAAATATTTAGAACCCAGTTTGCCTAATAACAGCCATGAAACTGCTATTCCAGCATTTAGTTAAATAAATACCATGAGGATAAAGGAATTTAGCACATAAGGACAACCGCTTACCCGCCGTATATATACTACGCGTAAATTTATAAGTCGAGAACCTTGGGAGAGTTCACAGGGAACTCATTTCTCTATTTATCAAGTTGTGTATAGAAACACCATAACTATGGTATTGGTAAGTAAGTAGAGTGCAGGCAGCGCTGAATAGTACTTATCATAAAAGAAACATGTGTCTGAAGTCAAGTCTTTGCTGAACAAAGTCTCGGATTGGGGGCGACTGAATCTAGTCCAATTTAACCCTCAGAAGACACAAGTTTGCGCGTTAACCGCTAAAAAGAACCCCGTTTTCGTATCTCCTCAGTTTCAAGGCACTGCCCTTGTTGCCTCAGTCAGTATTGGAATCCTCGGCGTCGACAATCGAGTGACGTGCAATTTCGTGGTCACTTGGAAGAGAAGGCCAAATTGGCCTCTAAAAAGCTTGGCCTGCTCGGCAGAACGGGACAGTTTTTCATGCCGGCACACTGCCTGCAACTTTACAAGACGCAGGTTCGGCTGCACATGGAATACTGTTCCCATCACTGGGTTGGAGCTAATCAGTGCCAGCTCCTTCCACTTGACCGCATCCAGTGCAGAGCGGCTCGAATCGTCGACGACCGAGTGCTTTCCGATCGGCTCGATTCACTGGCGCTGCGAAGAGATGTTGCATCTCTTTGAAAAATTCACGAACAAAACAAAAATGAAAAAAAGTAGATTTTTTCTGAAGGTTATTTTGTTGCTATCAAATCCTTGTCAATCTGGTCCATAAAAGGTTGTGGAATGTAATGGTATGATGATAATGGAAAATTTGAATTTGTTGTCAGAGCGATCCAGACATTCTGACATACTACTTCTACTCGTACATCTGCCTAATGCATGAAGATGTTATCTTGTGATAAGCTAATGGTAAGGTGTTATATGATAGTTAGACTAATAATTTGGTTTGGGAATAAAGCTAAAAATTAGTCTTAAACAAGACTTGCCTTGAATAGACTCATATAATTATAGTTTAAGAGCCGTCTCGCCGGTATTTGTACAATATTTTAAAATGTTTGGTCTAAAATTGCTTCTATTCATATCAACGGTAGTAAAAAAGGTCTTTGTAAAAGGATTGGTAAGAATGGATTTCGTCCTCTCTGAACTCTCTTTTCGTATTTGTTTTATGTAGCCAATTCTGTATGGGTTCATCTTTGGCTATAATACTAAAATAGCAGAATTTCTTCATCACATCCGACAGTGGCATGGTGCGTCATGAAGATGCTTGATCTTGAAATTTATATGGTAAACAAATCGCGGCCGCTTTTAGTCGTAGTTACATCGGCTGGACGACCCAAGTGTCAGCCCTCCGCCGCCGATGGCTTGACTCCGAGTGCGTTTTTGTGAAGCACGCGTTGAAATACACAATTTACTCCCTGCAGATCCACTTCTGGACGGCTTCCCGCTTTAGTGTGGCTTGAGCTTTAAGGTTTGGTTATACTACATCTTCAGAAATAATATTTTCGAGTAAATCGAAATAACCTTGCTTGATTGTGTAAATATGCTCTCGATTACTTGCAATATAGATCCATTGTATAAAGTGCCACAAATGTATCAGGAGACGCCAAGAGATTGTGCTTTACTGTTTAATTTTAAACAATTACCATTTCCATTAAAAGTAGCACTTCAATGACACTTACCAAATCTCAAAGTCAAGCCTTAAAAGTAGTGTTATTACATTTTGGTATGTAACTTTTTTCCCATAGTAAGCTCTACGTATATAGTATAGAACCGTTTGCTGTAGAGCTTACTACGTAGGGTATAGTTACTATTATTACTCACGTGTTTCTAGAACCTAAAATCTGCATGATTTATGATGATTTACTGCAACTTTTGTTTAAAAATAATTTGTGATAAATTTTTTGTCGGTTTTTATTAACTGTGATCAGAGCCGCGAATATGAGCTAGTCAAAAATTAATAAAATATAAGTAAGAGAACGGCGCACACTTGCAGGTAATTAAAACTTAAGTATGAAAATATGTTAACAGCAAAACACGACAAGGTGATAATTAAATTAATAGCAGTGGACGCATAATAACTTGTGTAACAGAAAATTATGGAAATTGTATGTATCAGGAGCCGACAACATTTCGTGGCTTTTTTATTGAAAGTATCCCGGTATTTATCTAACCAATAGTCACCCAATGTTGTGTTTAGGTTTGAAAGGCTTAAAAAGTTAGTTATTCAACTTAAAAGTTAAGGATACCTACGATCACAATTCCTGGGTAAGGTGATTGCACACAATTTATTTTTAATATTATTTAAATATGTAATTACAATAGTACACCGCCGGCATCAATAAAACTGTTAATTTTTGCAATTTTAGGTACTGGTTTACCTAGTATTCGGCGGTAAAGGAAAACATCGTAAGGAAACCTGCATGCCTGAGAAATGAGAAAAAAGATATTTCGTAGTTTGCCAATACGCATTTGGGCAGCGCGACGGACACTTCCTTGCCTTAATATCCTCTCAGAAATGGGGGAGGCCTGTGCCCATCAGTGGGACGTATATAGGCTATAACTTAAATTTTTAACTTTAACAGTATAATTAATTTTACTAAGTGATACAATCAATCAGAAGAACTTTAAATAAATAAATTATCATAGCTTTTCTTAAACTCTGAATTACGTGCTGGTTGAATTACTTGGTAGACGTTAGAGCCATTTCGGAACTAGTGAGGTATTTTCTGAACCAGTGGTGGAGAAAGGGAGACCCTTTTTAATTGTCACGTGGTATTCTATCTTAGTCTTCTTAGGTTACCGCGCTTTCGTAATTTGATTTAAGATGTAGATGACCTGTGTTCGTTTGTCACTCTTATTTTTTTTAAATAAACTTTTGTTATAAAATGCTTAGGATACCTGTCTGATATTTCAAGTTTTTCATGTTAAAATACATAAATATAAAATAAAATGAAGCCAAACTATTCACCTAAGACTATTTTGGCCTGTTTTATTGAGTTTAGTAATGATAGTGCAAAATGATAGAAGCCGTGAAGAACGTAAAATCCACACTTCGTACTCCACTAATAATCTTTACGATCTCTGCATTATGGATTCCAAATAATGTAGACGGCTTGAAGAAAACGTTATTAAATGTGTATAGGTTTGTCCTATTTACGATTATCCTTGGTAAGTTTTTTTATTTTTTGGTGCTGCAGATTAGGGCTTCAAATAGAATTAAAATAGTGGTAACGATGTCAATGCCAAAGGAACGTAGTTGTAACTTTGTATAGTTAGTTGTTGTAACGTGTATAGTTAAATGATTTAAATGCCTCGTTACCACTAAACAGGGTCATCGGTTCTCTACAGTACCGATACAAAACAAAGCAGCATAAAGCAGCTATTTTACGTTGGTATTCTAATAAAAGCGTGATCCATCCCCGTTCGAAGCGGCCCGGTTCTGTTGCAACAATAAAATAAGTAGAGCGTAACTACCTTGTAGAGGTTATTCTAAAATATAGTACATGTTTTAGACTGTTCCTTTTGTAAGGTAGAGAAGTGCATATAAATATATTCAACTGTCCGTTTAGCGTTTTGTTCTCTGTCAGCCCGTAGATATCCACCGCCGGAAATGGGTTTCTCCCGTTTTAGAGAGGAATCGTATTAACCGCACACTTGATAGGCGGAATAACGCAATGTAGCGTATATCAATTTGTATATTATTCTAAGTTAGTGTTGTAGCTCGGAGAACCGGCAACACTGTATTAAAAAACGCAATAATTACACGTAAAAACAAATGACAATCGAAAAAAGATATTTCTAAACATGCTTGCTTTATAATAACATTTACTAATGTGTGTGGCCAGCACCCGCGATAATTACGACAGGAGAAATTATTAAACTTTCTTTTTCGTTCCTTTGATATCGTCTATATGTATGGGTTATTTATATTCTAATCTATTCTATTTAATTCTATTCTACTCTCTTCTATTTTCTTTTTTCTTTTGTAGTCTATACTAAGGCCACAGACATCGATCCCTATCAAGAATGATAGGCGAGCCTAAGAAATTAATAAAAACCTTATTCAAATTTCAATAAAGGAGATGGCTGGGTCGTACCATCTACTTGAGATCCTATAATTAATATTCAAAAGCTGAAGTTAGCCCCGGCTATCTATGACGTACGTCAGATATCTCAGTTAACTGTGGATGTTTTGTAAACTCAGTTATATTTTATGTGTAGCATTTTCAACATATGTAACATCATATAAATGGAAACATTATCATACAGGTTTAGCTACACGATGTTTTCCTTCACCGTCTAGCACGTTGTAAATCATAACTTAGAACAATTTACAAATTTGGTGATCCATATATCAAGTGTAGCAATGACTTATTGTCCTTTATCACGTTGTAGATGCAGTGAGATGGTAAGAACCATGCATCTAGTTTAAGCATAAACGCAGAGTTTCATGACATCTGTTCATCCATTACATTCTATGATAGATTACTACTGAACACCGGCCTCCCCATAAATTATTCCTAGAGGATATTTCGCCATAGTTGCCATGCTTGGAAAGCGGGTTGGTAACCACGGTTTTTATTATTTTGAGTTTAGTAGAGCTTCTATCAGGAAGATGCAACTGCTCATCTCCTATTTTAGTTTCTCTCTGAAGTCACTTACGATACCCACGGAATGATATGGGGTAGTGGGTATTCTTACTCTGCCACTACACGTTTCATGACGTGTTTACGTGTTTACGTGTTTCATGACAATAAAAAGAAATTATTTAAGTTTCCTCAATTAAACTTGATCGTCATAAAATTGGTATAACCCAAAACAAGTTCAATTACAGGAATTAACACAACTGCTGAAGCAATTGAAATTTTCATGGTTTGGGGCAATATGTCATTAACAATGTCTTCAATGTTTCTCCTGTTCACCAATTTGTCATGTATCACAAAAGTTTTGAATTGCATATTAAGAAAGAAAGAAATCCAAGCAATGATAGACGAGGTTGAAGAAGAACTGGGTGCAGTGAGTGGGGAGGAAGAAAAAAAGATTGTTGATAGGTAAGATACAAGAAAAAAAATCTTATAAAACGACAATTGCAATTTCTAAAAGTCATGGGTTTAACCTATTATTTGACTACCTTTTCATAAAATTGAATTAACAATTAACATTCCACCTAAGAACCACCTACTGCAGTCTATGTACAGCTGGAAATTTCTTCAAAAAATAAGTTTTAGAGTTCGAACCCAGAGTTCGAACCTACCTCACAGGTCGTAATTATAAACCGAGGCAGAAAAGGAGTGTTATCTTGTGTCACCTGCTGCGTAGAGAATAATGTAAATTACTTGTTTGTACTGTACAGTCTCGACAATGATGTTAATGATGATGATGATATTCATAAAGAGACAACGAGTTTAATTTCCACTCAGACAAACAGAGTAGTATCAATTATCTTAATTTACTGTCCTCTTCTTTTTCTTCATGAGCACACAAATTTCCACGGCTGAATCAAGTTCGCTTCCATTATAGGGAGACTTAACAGGCAGATTGAAGATCCAAGTTTAAATCGTTCCGCACTACTAGCACTGCTCCACTATTGTCGCGGCGGCCTGCCTCAATGGAGACTAGCCATCGGCGCAGGACCGGATTATAGTGCCCAAGCGTATACGCAAGCACAGATGCACTCTCTATTCCCTAACTTTCATGGTCCGATGGGACGGTAAACTGACACAGCCGGAAAAATATCAGGCGCAAGACCAACGGCTTTACGTGCTTCCGAGGCTCACGGGTGAGACACCGTCAACTTCCTGACTTCGGGCAGCTACTAAAAATTTCTTAATGGAAAACTCAATAAGTGATATTTTTGGCCAACCCGGGATTCAAACCATGATCCTCCTTATGATCAGAAGTCGCACTACTATAAGAACTAGACTAACCAGGCAGTCAATTCACGAAATATTACTTTCTGAACATTCAGGCTTACTTACAATGTTATATTCACCACCGAGTACGTTGTATATCAGTTTTGAAATAGTTTATTAACACCATAAAGATCCACGTTGCATATCTAATAAAATGAGAAAATATCATTAAGGACATCTCTCGAGTGGCAGCCTCGTACTGGTAAGTGAAGTGTAGGGCGGCATACAACAAGATATATTGACGATCTGTTATAGCAAACAGGAATGATATGAATGCTATTAGGTGTTAGGGTTGCTTTTCTAGATGGGAGTGAATTGGAACCACCTTCTTGCTTTTTTGCCATCAAATAGCTTTGTTTCGTTTTAAGAGTATACAAGCCAGTATAATTACAGGTTGCGAGCCATTCTATCATCCGAGGCCAGATGTGTTGTATCATAAGACACGACACATCTGTCACGTTCTTTGTATCCACTTGACTTTGACTATACTGGATGACCTTTCTTACCGTCTGGAAAAATTAGGGTGTAACATGTGTTTTTTTCAAACGTGTAATTCAAAATTTTTGTTTTAATTTTTAGTAAAATATTAGTGCCATAGGCTCTTATTCCGTTCACATGTTACACCCAATTTTTTTTTTCAGACGGTAAAATAGGTCAACTAGTATATGAGTTTTGATAGGTCGTAATATATGAATTAATCTAGTATTACAGTGAATAATGGTAGCTCGTAGACTAAGCACTCGCACCATACGCGAGCCAACCTTTGAGTTAGGTCTTAACCAGCACCAATGAACTTGTTAATACAATTTTCGGAATTATCTTACTACGTCACCGCTTGGATGAAGGAAAATATCGTGAGAATATGTTTATTTCTCAACAATAAAATATACTTAAAAAATTTAAAGTTCACGAACATGCAATGGTACAGCGCAGCGAACTAATTGTTCCCTAGTTCTCTCAAAAACGTGATCTGTATCCAGCTGTGGGGCGGATTTAGACTATAACTTTACTTCCTTGATTGCATAAATAATATTTCCTATTTTATATATAAAAGTTAAAAAAAGTCTTCTCATACATTTTACTTACAGCCTATATACGTTTCACTGCTGGGCACAAGCCTCCTCCTATTTCTGAGAGGGTTTTTAGGGCAAGAAAGTGTCCACCACGCTGCTCCAACGCGTGATGGTGAACTTTACATGTCTTCAAAATATTTTTATTTTCATTTCTCAGACATGCAGGTTTCCTCACTAAAATTTCCATTACAATTTCATTGGTGCGGAAATCTTACTCACTACTATTTACAGCGAGCGCGAACCGTCTGAGCTACCACGGCTCTCTATAGGTTTTTTTATTTATACATATTATTAATTTAATAAATATATTAATTTTAATATTTTTGTATTCTCAGTGGTAATCGGGTGACGAGTATCCAAATGAACATATACTTTGGCTTTTCAGTAATGTCAATTTTAAGCTTAACCATCACACCCGATGAAGGCCACCTACCTTTCCGGGGCTGGTAAGTTGTTGTGGCCACAAATACTTTATTCTGATAAAGCTTACTTTAAGTTCTTACGATCGTCAAAATGTATCACTGGGTCGTAAACTAAGAGGAAATAACTTTTTCCTGACATTTCCCATAATCAACTTTATTATATATTAACATTTGATAATGGAAATAGTATAATACCATAAAAACAATGTGGTCCTTTACGTTACGCGTATGAGGAAGCTTAAATTCATTTAGTAAGTTATGAAGATGGCTACCCTCAGTGACCTGCGTTATAATATTGCATAATGAAGATATCCGCTCTAGAACTATATTAATCGTTATAGCCCAATTAATCAATGACCTGAAATGCCAATGGGCTGCTCATATAGCACAATGGGCGTTCCTCAGGGATCGATTCTTTGCCCATTCCTGTTCTTAGTTTATATTAATGAATTACCTTAACTTTTAGGACAATCAGGATATTGCATTATTTGCAGATGATGCCTCTTTAATTTTTGAACTCAAACGACAGTTAATTAATTTAGATAATGTCAATAATGCTCTATCAAAATTAGTCCTTTACTTTTTTTGATAGAGCAGACGATAGAGCTTTACTTTAACGCCAACAATTTGCTCTTAAACGGCAATAAGAAAAAATGTATTAAATTTACAATACCTAGCGTTAAACATTTAAATTCCAATTTTTTTCTCTTCAAAATTTCTCTCAAAATTTACTCCACAAAATTAGTAATTCATTTATGGGGCAATGTACACGCTTTTACAAAAAATTCCAGATAAATTACAAAACTTGTCAATAAACAAGTTTAAATGTTTTTTTAAAGAAAAATTGTACAAAAAGGGTTATTATAAAAATCAAAGCTCTTGAATGGGGAAGAGTTGAGCCTTGTGGATACCACTGGTTTTTTTTTTTTTGTATTACTATTGACGCGAAGGTTCAATGGGGCGCCCATATATCTAAATTAGCAGGCAGAATTAGTTCTGCAGCAAATGCTGTAAGAAAGACTTCTAGTCTCACCAATGTTGAGATAGCTAGATTAGTTTGTTTTAATCACTTTCATAGCGTAATAGAATTATGGAAGCCTTATGGAATTTTGCTATGGGGTAATGGCACTGACATCGAAGCCACATTTGTTTTGCAAAAGAGCCGTATTAAGTTATAAATCATCTGATTTATAACTTAAATTGCAATGAGGCCCTTAGAGTAAAAATTTGAGAAATAGACGTATAAACTTTGGCATCGCAATATATCTATAAAAATGTAATATATATAAATAAGAACATAAATAGCTTTGATATGAATAAAGATGTTCGTACTTTTAACAACCAACATAAACTTGTAATGATAGTTAGTATAATCAGTATACTCCAAAATTAGTAATTCATTTATGGGGCAATGTACACGCTTTTACAAAAAATTCCAGATAAATTAAAAAAAAATTGTAAATAAACAAGTTTAAATGTTTTATTAAAGAAAAATTGTACAAAAAGGGTTATTATAAAAATCCTCCATCATGCTGGTTTTATTAAAACTCATTGTACAAACAAAATTATAGTAAAGTGAAATATGTTTTAAAAAAGTCCCGCTGGGTTTCATGCTGGTTCTTACTGGGACAGAGGTATTTTCCAAACCAGTAGTAAATAAAAATGACTTTTAATAAGTATTATGTAAAAATTATTCTATTCTAAGATGATTATAAACAAGGAAGAACCGGCAACCGATGGGAAAGAAAGGTTCCCAAGCAGCATCCTCGTATAGGCAACGCCACGAGTGATGGAACTGCGCAGAACCGAAAAATAGGTGTCGACACGGTGAGGTGTGAGGTACGGGGAAGCGAAACCATAGCAACGGACGACGCGCTACTCCCAACTAGTTTCCTCCTGCGTCCCGTCGCACGCGCACCTTCATGTGTCGTCTTGTGTACTATCGATGTCGAAAGTGTTAGCGACTAACTGTTATAAAATTTTAAATTTTTGCAATTACTTATGTACTTATAAAAATATTGTTCTATAATATTTTCAAATAGTGTGCAAATATTTATTACTTTATAAATTTTTTTTGGGACTATTTAAAATAGCGTAGTTCGTAGTATATTGTACAAAGTTGTAAATATTTTGTTATTTTCTACAAGATGAAATAATATATCCTTATAATCGAAGGCTATCGCATAGTAAGGTTTAAACAGCAATTACAAATACAAAACATTTTATTTCTTTAACTAAGTGTACATAAAATGCAGAATATTATTTAGAAGCATTTAAAACCTAACGATGATATATAAATATATCGTTCAGTTTTCGTGAAGACTTTGATGTGTAGTTATAATGTTGACCTTTGACTTTTTACATATTAAAATGCCGTAATAAAATTTTCATTTTTCTGCTTGATTGTATATGCGCCGTAGACTTATATTATATATAGATATTTAATTTCATCTTACGTAGCACGACCTTTACCGCGTGTGTAGATCTGCAAAGACACACAAAACTTGTCTTTGCAGGTTAATAAATTCGCAATAAATTCAATAAATTCAAATTCAAACCGTGTTTTGAGGTGTTTCTTAGGAGGAGCCTATGTTCTACAGTTGAGTAGTAATGGACTATAATGATGATGAACTGTACTAACTAACAAACTCTACTAATGGTAAAATAAAGATAAAACCTGACCTCATTTCTAAATAAGTTAAGGATCAATTAGTTCGGTCCGGATATTAATTTCTTGCATATACTTAAACATGCAACCACAAGACCTTCCGGGCACTTCCATGAGCTTTTAAGATATCATTGATTCGAGAGGGGAATAGTGTTTACCTTACGGCAAACTTAAGAAAAACTAATATGCTTGCACAATACAACGGTAACCAGTAAAGGTTTATGACATAAAGGATTACTATAATATGTATGTAAATTAAATTAAATTAAAGATTTCTTTTCATTTAGGTACCCATATGATACAACAAAAGCTCCAGGGCTACAGTTAACTTCTGCCTTTCAGGTTAGTAAATAATGAAAAATGACATCTATATATTTTTTTTAGTTTTATTATATATGAGCCGAGGTAGATAAGTGCCTGCCGGAAATTACAGAATACGTGAGTCGCCGAGCCCTATGCCAATATTACAAACTGTAAATTGCAATTTTAGGTGCTGATATACACCTCTACTGGGGTTAATTTTCTGGCTATGAGGTATTTCTTCTTAGTTCCCAGAGGAGACCACGTCTGTGGCCTGTTTTATTTGAAGTTGGCGTTTGTGATAAGTGCACGTGCCCATGAGCTGCATTTGCGACTTGCCATATATTTGCCAAATAGGTAAAAAACTAATATTTATGTAGGCTGTTGCTAACCGTCCGAGTATTGAATGAATAAAAATATTTATTTATACTATCCCTACTACCTATAGCAATTTTGAAATTGAAAAAAAAGTTCCTTTAGTACTATTTTATTTAAATATTTAAGGTTTACATATTATATCGTCGAATCATTACTTAAACAAAATGTAAATGCGAGCAATAAAACTATTATTTACGGATTTTATCGCGTTTAATTACTTTTATTTTATTTTTACTATCCCGACGTTTCGGGTGCTTTACAGCACCCATGGTCACGGGGGACTGAGATGTTTGACGTCCAATGTCATAGTTAGTCCGGCTACCTTCAGTTTTTGAATATTAATTTTTGGTCCGATTTATTAAAATCCGATTTATTTAAAGATGAATACGATCCGATTTATTTAAGTTTATTAAAATCTGTGTGTAATAAATAATTACACCTCAACTATCCATTTTTAATACTAGGTGGAGTCTGTTGTGTTTCCTAATTTAATGAAGCATAGTAAAGGGATATCTTTATTTGAATCTGGTAGTACATTGGACCCCGCCAATTTATTTCTGTACTGCCAACACTTAGTAAGATTTTTTATTGCGCAAACTTGTGTCTATATTAATGATTTTTCTTAGATAGTAGGGGACAACCATGATATAGTATTATTTTCTGATGATAAATCATTAATTTTCAAATTAAAACGACAGTTATTAAAATATGACGAAGTAAATATAATAAAGTAAATATAATGCTTTATCTAAATTATTAAATTGGTTTAATGTTAATAATTTGCATTCAAATGACACTAAAACTAAATGTATGTAATTCATAATACCAAATATCAAACATCTAAATACCAATGTAATTTGAAATGAAGCTGAGTATTGTGTACCACCATTTTTCTTTGAATCATACTAGACGCAAAGCTTCAATGGGCCTCCCATATAATACGAGTAAAATTTGCAAGCAGACTTAGTTCTACAGCACATAATGAAAAAAATTTTAGAAATCCAATCAGTATTGAAATAGCTAGACTAGTTTACTTTAGCTATTTTCATAACATAATGTCAGATGGTATTTTGTATATGGACATGTGATTGACATTGAAATTATTTTAATTTTATTTGTTTTACAGAAGAGGGCCATGAGAGCAAACTATGGTTTAAAACCTAAAGAGTAGCTCAGACAAAAATTTAAGGAAATTAATATATTAGCTTTATCTTCTCAATACATTTATGAAAATGTAATGTGCGTACACAAAAATAAAAGCAGTTTTAGTAAAATAAATGATATTCATTCTGGAAATACTAGGAAAAGACACAAGTTAGTAGTACCAGTTACTCGAATCCACCAAGTCAGTAACTCTTTCTTGGGGCGATGTATAAATTTTTACAACAAAATTCTAGAAAATGTACAAAATTTCATCCTGCTCAAAGTTCAAATACTTTAAACTTAAAACTAAGTATGTAGTTTGATAATAGCCCCTGGGAACATTGAGGTATTACTACTGCGTATAGAGAAGGCAACGCCTTTCATGATTTTTCGCCACGCTTTGCGGTACACTGTACAGCAACTGTTTAGTGGATGTCCAACGCCCGCACAGACGAGTCGCTCGAGTTCGCTTCGCATAAATAACAACTTCAAAGTGCCTGGTTGTATTCTTAAAGACTGCAGTATACATCCCAGAACATCAAAACCGCGTGACCTTTGGCCTTAAAGGTAGCTCATTTTTGGCAATACACACCGTCCAAGAATTATGTATGGATGAGCGACACAGATTTGCCTTAGCAAGATGATTCGGAGTCGAGACATCAGTGTTGATGAACATATCGACAAAAGATTCAGTCGATGCTGCTACTTATTTCAACGCCAACGATTAAAGTGAAAGTTGCCAATTATCACAAATTTACACCTTTCGCGACATCTGGGTTTTGTCTCAGATTGTTCTGTGTCCATTATTGGATTCACTGACGTTGATGAACGGACCTTCTGTGGTGTCGTATATTTACGATTCCCAGTACCGAACGGACTTGGACTCTACTGCCTCTGCCCATCTATGAGTCAGGTAGACGAGAATATCACCAGTTGATCGACCACGACGAAAACTGTTTTGGCGGTCACTAATCTGCTGGTGATCCTAAAGGTACCTCATGGGCTGGCAGTTTATAATGGACTCCATTATTTTTAAAAACAAGGAGATGATAGAGATAGGCCTGTAATTGGACGAGTTCAAGTGGTCGTCATTTTTAGGGATTGTGTGGACCAAAGCTGTCTTCCATGAATTCGGAGTAGGATTACCGGAACGGACGCATTAAAACCGGTATCAACTCTGGAGCACACACCTTCAGCACAATGGGAGGGACTCCATCAGACCCATTCGACTTTCTGACGTCCAGGGAGAGGAGTGCTTTTCGCACCGAGCGGTGTGTTAACTGCACATCTGGCAAAGAGAACTCACACTACGGGATGGTTGGCGGTGTACTCCCCTCGTCATCAAGAGTCGAGTTGGAAGCAAAGAGAGAGCCTAACAGATAGGTTTTCTCCTTTGCGGTATGGTCCAGTGGAGATGGCTAATAGAAGTTACCTTGGACAGCCTTGGCGAGAGACCGGAATGCACGGGTTTCCGAAAAAAGGCAAACTAGTTTTTCGCCAATTCTGCCGATGTGCTCAGACCTTGCCTTGGAAATGAATCTTTTGAAGGACCTGGAGGCGGAATGATACTTCCTTTTAAGAGCGCTAGTGTTTACATCCCGTTCACGCTCTATAGTGCTCCTGATTATAGCGTGATGCTAATTTACAGGAGCGATCGAATATTTTACAGGAGGAGAAGGAATCGTGCCTCCGGTCACCTGCACTTACCAAGCGAAACGCAGAAGTAAGCCTCAACTTCACGCTGGTATTCTGTGAGGACGTGGTACCTCACCGGTTCGGGCCAGCCCATCCGTGGGACAGCAAAAAGATGCCACGTGGCTCTACCACTGTTGTACTGTACTTTGCTAGTAGTAACATATTCACTCTTATCTATAACATCCTTGGGGATACCAAATCATAGCTGTACGTACTCGTACAATAAACATATTAACAAATGTTTGACTCAAAACTTTGGACTCGCTCAGGGATTGAGTAGCTTTTTCTTAGTATATAAATTTTATGAATCGGCATTTGTCTACGCAAACGAGTCGCGGGTGGGTTAGTTAGTCGCCTATAAGTTTTATTATACATCTTTTCACTGACTTAAAGTTAGCCATTTATTTATGGAAATTAGATCAAAAAATGTAGTAATAGTAACTGATCGGAGCTTGATAAAGATCCTCGTCTTCTGGTTTGTTTTTCTCTGAACCACGAACGATCGGGGGTAGTAAATATTCTCACACTGCCCCTACACAATCATTTTCAATTTATAAACCTTCAAATTACCGACAACTAATAGGTATTATCATGGCTACCGATATATGGCAGTAAACCATCTCGTTAACGCTAGGCGTACATTCCCAGACCAGCATCAGCAGACTATCTATTTTATTTTTATTTTATTGAATAAGGTACACACACAGACAGTAGTTATACAAAGGTCTAAAATTCAAAGTATATTTGTGTTGATCTAAACTACAATCCAAAAAAGTGTACACGGCATAATAATATAACTGCAGTATAATCTTAGTCTTAGCAAAAATAAAACAGATAACAAATACATTAAATGAGAGAAACACAAACACATAAATTTCTTTTAAATCTAACCAGGCTACTAGCGAATATATCTAGATGTACGTTACTACGCTTAATCTCGTCGTAATCATGGCACATTTAACAACAGGGTTGAAGAAGGAAGTGTTATTCTTGTGTACGTCTAACCTGTAATTTGTACGATGTAAGTGCTACTAGCCAGTATGCTTTTAAAACTTCATCGGAATAAGACGGGTGATCTTTAATCCTCCTACAAAATGTTTTTTTTTTATAGGATAGGGTGACAATCGAGCACACAGTCCACCTGATGCTAAGTAGTTGCTGTGGCCCATAGACATCTACATCTATCCTCGATTACGAATCAAAATGCAGATGTGTTGTCACCCGTGAGGACTAAGAGGGAATGCCTCGTTTCCAGTAAAATGGGTCGCCGGTTCTCTACACTCACCATACGAAATACAGCAGCATTAAGCTACTATTTCACGCTGGTATTCTGTGAGAGCGTGGTCCTTCCCCGGTCGAGCCGACCCATTCGTGCTACAACTATACATCTAATATAACTGCAGCATGGCTCCTACCACGTATAAGAAATAGAATATAAAATACTCATTTGATTACAATTTCGTATGTTCTTTAGTGTTTCGTAGTGGCATTATCAGCTGCGATAAATATCTCCTTGGACATTCTGGTTTCAACGCTCATCTACCAGTGCCATTCTCGTCTGCAACTCTCGGCTCTGAAGCTAATCACGCTTTGCGATGGAGTGCCTTTTAATATTCAGGTATGTTTATGTTTAGGAGAGGATGGCGGATTTATTTAATTTATTGTTCTAATTTTGTTTAAAGCATGAAATAATTCAAAATTTAAATTAAAATTAATACCTAAAATATTTTAAATGGCAATTGCATATATCTGCGATTGTTTGAAAATAAGCTAAATTCATGACTTAAAATAAATTGTAGCATATTGCGATATTTAGAGTTCCATGTGATCAATGAATTGAATGTTAAATATTTCACACCGGTTAACGAGGCAATGAGGAGGCTGATAAACTGGCAAAATTGGTAATTATAAGAGGAAGAAAATGTTATATTAATCCAGATTGTACAGAAATTTTAATTAAATATAAATATAAATGTTATTTGCTTTGGAAAAAATATTTTGATAAAATGTCGCAAGAAAAAGGGATATGGTACAAAACTGTCCCAGGATCTGCCTTCTAAAGTTGCTTGGCTTAGTAAGTGATTATTATTAAAACATCTATTGTATTAGCAATGCAAACTTCCTTCCGGACACAATCTGTGCAACAAGTTTGTTTCATGATGACAAAAAATCTCCAAATGGCGAAACAGGCTCACAATTAAAGATATACAACACTTACTCACCGAATGTTCCAAGAAATTCTAATGAGAGGAAACTATTGCTTATTAAATTAACATAAAAATGTGTAAAATAGGTGAATATCAAAGTATTCTCTCTGAACCATTACCAAGTGCTGTCAAATGGTGAATTATTTAATTAGTATATTGTACTAATACGAGTAATTTAATAAATTGTCTAGTGTTGTTTATTTTAAAGGACAATGGTACTGACATGTACCATTAAAAAATAACGATAGTCCCTTAATTTAAATATGGGAATTAAAAAACCCTGTATTCATGAGAAATAAACTATTATAAGGGAATGATGTGAAGTGCAATCAACACCCACTACACGAGCAGAGAGGCTATAACTTACCTTGCTGTTAAGGAAAAAGAAGAAGGCTCGTTAGGGAGTTGCTATATTATAACAAACATCAACATCATCAGTATCATCACTACAACATTTTACAATACCACTGCTGAAGAAGAAGGCTCGTTAGGGAGTTGCTATATTATAACAAACATCATCATCATCAGTATCATCACTACAACATTTTACAATACCACTGCTGAACATCGTTATCTCCCATGAAAAGTCGCAATTTTTAATACTAGCAACTCCAAATAAATTAAACTGCGCAATTCATTTTATTGTATAAAATTAATTTTTTGTATATTTTACCCCACATAAAGGGATTTCATTCCACCTATGACGAAGAAACGGTGATCAATCGTCTTCATCAATGCATCAAGCAGCATCAGGCAGCACTGAAACAGGCACGTCTTTTGCAAACGTACTTCTTTGTGCCTATATTCTTTCAGTTTTCCGTTTCTATGATCACTATATGTGTTTCGGCGTATTTGATAGCCATGGTAAGTGTTATTGTCGACTGACTTTAAAATATAGAAAATAGTCAAGTGAAAGACAGTATTTTATTTTACTTACCCTCGTTTTCAGGAATCGAATTTTGGCAACATCGTTTCTATGGGTTCATACCTGTTGGCGATGATGTTGCAACTCTTACTTTATTGTTATAATGGAAATAAGCTACTACATGAGGTGACATTTTTAAATTATTCTTAAACTATTTTTCAACAATATTTATTTTCATACAGTATATTATTACATTAAAGAAATTTGTTTGGCAGTAAAACCAAAAAATTAAATAAAATATTTGTGTTTTTGTTCCGGGCTTCTAAAGAGAAATTCTTGACAGAACAGCTCAATTTCTGTTTTCCAAATGATTACCCTAAACAGCATTCGAGCCCAGGACCACATCAAGACCAACGAGGCAGTCATGTTTCGTGATTTTACAAGTACTATACGCGCAGACTAAGAATATCATTTTAAATGGTCTCGTTCTATTGTCGTTATGGTGGTCGCTTGCGTTATCATAAAATTATCGCGTCTTGTTGTGATTGTCACCTTTTTTATTTGCAATAAAGTATTTCCAAGGCTTTGACCTGTAGTAAGACTATAGGTTAAAAATAAAGAATACAAACAGTATGTTTCTATGTATATTTAAAAACCAAATTTTGTATTTTTTTAACAATAAATTTATAAAAAAATAGATGAATTGACGACGACGAGAGTACGCGCGGGTGAAAGACATAGTAAACATTAGCTCCCATATTTTTGATAAATTAAATTAGTAAAAGTGATTGTTAAATGTATCTAGCATAAGAATTGTGTAAAGTGTCGGCCAAATAACGTGTGCAATTGTTATTTCTAAAAAATAGTGATAAATTGAGTGGAAAATTAATAAAAATATTCTATTATCAGTGTTTTTGGAAAACCATCCAAGAAACAACAAATATTCGCAAGTATACAAATAAACTTTAGTAAAGTAACTATTCTACCTAGTAATTAAAATATAATCTATAAATGGTTGCAAAAGAATAGTAAAAATTAAAATTTAAAAACTAATACACAAATATGACGGTTAACATTATTTGAATTAGATGCGATGTTATAACATTATCAACCGTGTGTCGAGGTGATAGTGACTTTTATTGTTTCATGCCATCTAGCGTCATACATAACATTAATGATCTATAAACTTTTTGGGATGTGTTGTTTTTTTTGGTTAAAGTGACATCTATTATTAGCAACAATAGTCAATTACATGAAAGCGTATATACAAACTCACAATTTCGTCAAAAGTAAGGAGGTGTTCGCGGCGTATTGGTACAATCGTCGCATTATTGTCAAGAGTTCGGGCATTCTAGTCCTTGTAACTCCCCCCCTACTTGCGAATTTCTTTTTTAAATTATTTAAATAAATAAATAATAAATAAAAATGTTTTATTTCAGTAAATCATTTTACAGCTATTTGCCGAGGCCTCCCAGAAAGTAATCATAAGATACTTGTGTTGGGAGAGTCTCGCTCATCCTACGTAATCGTATCAACTTAGATTTACATCAGAAAAAAAAATATATAAACATTTTAAACTTAATATTACAGTTATTCATGCATTTTAAAATGAAAGAAAGAAGCTTAGGAGAAATGTATACCTGAGTAGTTGTGTCAGTTGTGTGTTAGTTTATTTTAATGAGAAAACTACAATAAAATATCATTTCAAAATATTACAATAAAATATCACTTCAAAATGTCACTAGTATATTTTAAATGCAAAAATAAAGTATTGGATAAGGATAATTTAACTTGTTCACTATGCAAAGAAAAATTTCATTTAACTTGCACGATAGTTTCTGAAAAAAGATTTCGCTGGATGTCAATAGACACCAAAAATGCCTGGAAGTATACAACTTGTACACAGAAAAAAAAATAAGACAAAAAATAGAAATACGTCATCAGAAAAATCTCCTAATTTGGACAGCAGTATATCTAGCTGTCACGAAAGGATAAATGATAACATATAATAACATTGCGAAAAAAAACTCAATCCCCCTATAAGCGATAGCAGCCCGCAATCAATTTCCTACATTGACGACTTAGGTGAAACGTTGATTTCTGTAGACGCCGCTTTAAATCGTAGCTGCCCCAAAAATAACTATTTAGCAATGGAGGATTTGGAGGAAATGAAGTTCAAACTACAAAATTTGGAAACAAAGCTTGAAAGTGCTGACCTGGAAGTGGAAAGATTGTTATTAGAAAACAATTCATTGAAAGAGGAAATATCAAAAAGAGATGCAAAAATAAACCAATTATCTCGCATCTGTCGCTCAACTACAAAAAAGAAGGTCGTAAGTCCCTCCCAGAACAATACCTGCGAAAATAATATAAAGAAATATACTACTAATGTATTATTTAGTACTCCCAAAGTAAGTGCCCCATCAACGATAACAAATATAGCATTGTGTCACAGCCCCAGTGAGACTAATGAAAGCAAGCGGCAAAATAATAATATTAAAATATGAACAAATCACCATTACGCGACGTAACAAGCCAACAAGAGAACACATTAAATAACTCTAAAATATCTCAGGAGAACAAAAAGAAGATATGTATGCTAAGTACTAACAAGTTTACTAAAACAAGATCCATCGCGCAACGATTTTTGCATGGAGATTTTGATATCTGCCATTATCTTCTGACTGGATACGGAATAAAACCACTTATGATGGGCCCACATAAAGACCAAACTTATGGATTATACAATGGAAGACTACTGCATATTACTAATAGGTGATCAAGATTTCAAACCCACTATAAATTACTTTGAATTAATAACATATATTTGACAAACTTTATCAGAAATTACACACACAAACATCATTTTGTGTCTACTTACCTTTAGATACTGTAGATTCAGAAATTTATTTAACTGGCGAGTAGAAATTTTCAATAATTTACTACATCTGGATGTAATGACACATGAGTATGCACACCTTATTGATTCTAACCTGAATCTAGAATATGATTATACGATGTTTAAAAAACACACAGGTATCATAAATAACTACGGAATGCAAACCATATTCAAAGACATTAATGCACTTATGTGTGAAATTGAAGATTATGGTTATAATAAAATATTAAAATCCATGACAGAATTGCAGAATGATCAAAATGAACCAATACCTGCCTCGCCACCTCTAAAAAATATGTTTTTTCGATAATAAAATAAGGATTATTTACCAAAACATACAAAGTTTTAATAACAAACGGAATTTGTTGGAAGCTTGGACAGATGAAGATAAAAATGTACACGCTATATGTCTATCTGAAACCTGGATCAGTGCTCCGAAACTTGACCTACTCAAAGTACAGGGTTATATGCTGGCATCCCATTTCAGTCGATCTAATTCAGTAGGAGGAGGTGTTTGTATACTAGTTAAAGATGATATAGATTATATTGAACGAAACGATTTAAACGCTATGTCCATAGAACCTATAATTGAAATATGTGGAATAGAAATACCAGTTTCAAATTTATTAGTCATAAATTTTTACTGGCCAAATAGTAACAGAATGCCTGATACCTTTTACAGTGTATTAGAAAAGCTCTTACAACGAATACAGCAAAAAAAATTCTAAAACAAACGTTGTAATAGGTGGAGACTTTAACGTAGATGTGTTAAAACAAAGTATTTCGACTGTAAGACTTTTAAATTTAATGCGTAGTTATAATTTCTATCAACATGTTCAAGAACCAACGAGGGTAACAGAGACTACATACTCATGCCTAGATTTAACATTCACAAATTTTGATGTCGAGCAAGTCGTAATTAATGTTGTAGAGTTGAGTCTCTCTGACCACAAAGGAGTTATAGTAAATATACCAACAAAATACGTGGATTCTAGAAAAAAGTATCTTTAGTGAAAAAAATATCCAACATTTCAAAGCTAAATTAAGAGAAGTAAACTTTAGCGAAATAATTGCTATTGATAAAAACATTAATGAAAATTATAACTCATTTCGTAATAGAATTAATCATATATTAAATGAAACTATACCAAAAAAAAATTTTTTTTAAAATTTTGTGTTTTTTTTTTTTTTTAAAATTATTTAACCTAAAAAAAAACCTTCTCAACCCAACAAACAAAAGAAAAAAAAACCCCGGGGTTTATAAAAATAAGAAGCATAAAGAAAAAGTCATGGCTTACCAATGGAATCAAAACATCGTGCAAAAATAAAAGGCTCTTAAAAAATTATCATCTCAAACAAAAAATCCAGTACTAAACAAATATTATAAAAATTACTCAAAAATACTTAAAAAATCTGTAAACATTTCAAAAAAAGAACTATAATATTAAAAGAATAAAGAATTCTGATAATGTAATAAAATCAATGTGGAATGTTGTAAAGGAACAAACTAATAAGCTTACGCAAAATAAACAGAACATAGAACTGAATGTCCAAAATAGTATCATTTCAGACCCTGTTCAAATAGTTGAGTGTTTCAATAATTTCTTTTTGTCGGTTGGTAATGATAACAATACTTTTGGCACAACAGGTGCAATCATTCAGCCTGTCCTTCATCCCGTAAAGAATTCATTCTTTTTACAACCCGCTACTAATCAAGAAATTATAAAATGTATAAGTAATTTAAAAAACAAGCGTAGCTTTGGTCATGATGACTTACCGCCTTGTCTAATTAGGAAATGCGCCGAAGAACTAGCCCCAGTTATGACATTCCTGATAAATCAATCGTTTACAGAAAGTAAAGTTCCAGACCAACTAAAAATTTCAATAATTAAACCACTCTATAAAAAAGGCTCTAAAACTGACTGTAATAACTATCGCCCTATTGTTATTCTTTCAACGTTTTCAAAAATATTTGAATCCGTTATGGCTAATAACTAACTGTTACTGCGAAAAGTTCAATATATTAAATGACAATCACTATGGCTTTCGCAAAAACAGACAACAACTACAGCATAACAAAAATTAAATATATAAATTACTATACCAAATCTCATACATACTTTTAAACACAAAGTAAGAGGCCCAACACAACTGTTCTCATACCTGACCAATCGAATGCAGTGTGTAGAGATAGAACACCATAACCTAGCCAGTGGAAATGTGATTAAAGTCAGGTCTCAATTTGCACCGGTCACTAAATCAATACCACAGGGTAGTGTTCTCGGTT